GAGGTTTGTGGGGGGGGGTAGCTTGGATTAACCCCTGCTGTGCATCCCCTTCACCCTGGCTGCCCTCCCCGGCCCACCGCCCCCCTCGTCCGCCGCAGCCCCTTTGTGCCTCCCGCATCCTGCCAGGCAGGTGTCAGAGCCCTGAATGCGGGCAAAGGCCCTGCTGATGGATACCACAGATGGAGCGTGGAAATCGCTCGAATAGGCCTCAGCCACAGGCCATTTCTTAGGACCGAACAAAAGCCTCCAAATAAGTCAACAAAAATCCCGAAGATCACAAAGAGAAAGTGTCATTTGTCATTTACTGTGGGTTTGTGTGGGGGTAGCGGCCCTGCTGCACTCCTCGCCTGCACCCGAGTAAACACGAGGGAGGTCACTCGCATCTCTTTGGGCGTGAAAGGCGGGGGGGATCAGGCAGCCGCCGGCACCCCTGCGGTACCCGCTGCCTCCCACTGCAGAACGCCCCGGTTAGCCCCAAAGCTGGGGATGCCCCGGCCGCAGCCTTAAGTAATAGAGATGTGGCACGAGGGGGAGAGCCTGTGAACTTAATCTTGCATAAATAAAGAAATAGGAAGATCCAGGGAGGGTAGCTAGCAAACAAAACTGCCACCAAAACCCTCCCTGGCCTTTCGTATATTGTTTTTTTTGGTATTATTTTAGTGAGATCTGTGGCTAGACAGAATTTATCTAGGGCAGACCCCAGGCTGTTATGCTTAGAGGAAGAGGCTGTGTAATATTTTATTGAAAAATTTCACAGTGACTGAAGGATTTCCAGAGAAGTTGTGCCTTCACAGATCGCAGAAAAATAACCTCTCTGCCTGCGTTTGTCAGGTGTGCTGTGCTGCAGCTGTAATGTATGGGTTTTAAATGGTTGTCATGTTTTTGTTATTTAATTATTCAAATGAAATGTCTTGCTGAGAGGAAGAACAACCTGCAGAATGACCTCTTGTGTGTTATTTTGTTGTTTGGTTTTTGCCCCGACATGTCTGTCTATGGTGTTTGGAAAAGGGATGGTTGCAGAGCCCCAGGTGACCGAATGCCTACGACACTGGGCAGAGGTTTTTTTGCATATCGTGGTGATAACCAGCATGCAGCATTTCCTCAGGCCACCAGACAGGTCATGAGGGGTTAAGGGACAAATAATTGCTCTGTAATTCTGTAATTCCTTCTTTAATTAAACTTCATGGCTCAGCTACTGGTAGTGCTTTTGGCTGCATCTTCCATTTCGAGCTGTGCAGTAAGGGAGTGATCCCGAGGGGTCTGCCTGGGGATCTCCCAGGACACTGGTGAGTCTGCTTCTTTCTCTTCTTTATAGCTCGAGGGGTTGGAGTATTAAGATCATTAGGACAACTGTAGAGGTTAGCAATATGCATGTGCGTGTCTGTGGAGGTGATGGAGATAAAAATAATCCAGCTAAAATCTGACCACCTTTACCTGTGTTGGAATAGTATCTTTTTATATCATGGAAGTTGGTGGATCTATTAGTGAGATACTGCTTAGCAAAAGGGCAATACTCTATGGCTATTCAGCATATATAAAATAAATACTGCTTGTTAAAAGGCTGAGGTGTGTCCAATTTATGTGCTTAGCCAATACTCTGATTGGCTTCGCACCTATATGAAAGTCTAATAATGGTATTTTAATAGGAAAAAATAATGAAAACTTTCTTGAAACTAATAATATTTAAGAAGACTCTGTAAGAAATAAAAATAGTGCGGTTTGTCATACAGACATGTAGCTATCATTTGAAATGACATTTGTCTGATTTTAATATTGCAGGTCAGACAAGACAAAGGAACTCGGTGTTTTCAATAAAGCTGCACATAGCAGCCAGGCCTGGTGAAGGGTAACACCAATGAAATCAGATGGATATGAAAGCCATTAATTTGATATACGTTTTCTCCCTACTTTAATTACATTACTTTCTCTCTAAATGTTTGCACTTGATTAGATGTATTGTCCTGGACTCTTAGATACTTTGTTCAGTTTTTTCTGACTGGTTTAGCTTTGCCTTTTGTATACTGCTTAGTGAAATATAAAGCTAAAACGAAAATGAAATTAACTCAGTGTTTCAGTTCTGCATTCTCATTGCTGCATGAATGCAAGGTGCAGGGAAACATCACAAGATTTTGCTAAGTCTTTATAAAACATTTTTAGAAAGATCAATTATAGGCCTCCTGATACTTCCCACCCAGTTGGTGAGGGAATTAACTTCAGAAATTTAGTAATAAATATCCACTTTAAATTGCACAGTTTAAGCTGTTTTTTTTTTTTTATAGGCACATATGTAGGTGTTTGAAGAAGTTCCATACATACTTGTAGAGTCTGAAAGAGAGTATTGAAAGAGGTCCTGAGATCTGAGGATTTGACTTTTTTTTTTTTAATCTCATCTCACCGTACACAATCAAAGGCAACTTTTGTCAGAGAGGTTGTCTCCAAAAGGGTCCTTCCTGAGCTCTGTTTCAGATCTTACCACATCAGGTATGGTCAGAGTGCAGTGCTAGCCAGTATGAGCCTGTTAGCATGGTTCGTGTGCTCTTTTCCACTAGTCTAACTTGCCAGCAATAGCCCTTCTGCTTAAGGTGGGTGATTTGTATCTGAGGCTAACGTAGGGAAACTATATTTTAAATATCGCGTGTTGCTTTTTATTCTTGAACAGCAGCATGAAGCCATCCTGGAGGGTAGTAACTTGGCAGCTGCTGAGGAAGGCAGGTGTCACTGATTTGCTTGGGACCTCCACTGAGAAGATTTGGGATTCGTCACTAGTTCAGACAATGTGTTATGTTCATTTTGGGATACCCTAGATTTGCCTGTTTAATAAGGAATGAACTTGGACTGTTTGGGTAGGATGTTTGTGCTGATTCCCCTTTGCTCTCAGGAACAATACTCTTAAGAACCAGAACAGCTTAATCTAGTTTTACTTGGGGCAAAACTTCCATGCAAGTAAGAGATTCTGGGAGTTGGATGTTTTCACAGTGCATCGATGCTGAGCTTTGTGGGAATTTCTCCTGATGTCCTATGTATGTTGGATCCAAAATATTGATGGTGTCTGGACAATGAAGATAGCTTTCACACAAGAGCCTCTGCTTTAGCAGTAATTGTTCTTTTTTTGGTATGCAGAAATTAATAAACTCTTCAGCTGAGTTTGAAAGCACTTTGTCTTTCTCATGCTGCAAGACCAAGTAAACAGATTAGGTGTATTTATTAGTTCAAACAGCTTGAGTGAAATTGGAAATGTAAGATAGCTAGAAGTTGAACGTGGTGGGGGGTTTTAGCTGGAGCTTGAGAAACAGTGATTTCTTTCTGGCTTTGTGTTCTCAATTACTTCCAAATAAATAATGTTAAGAAGATTATTTTAAATCAATGTCTAGATCAATAATTTATTTGGAATTATTGAAGTAGTAGAAGCAATGCTTGTATTTCAACTGAACAAGCAGTTTCAGCATCATTGGGGAGTGTCTGCCCTCTTTAGGTGGTTTCCCCTGAAGACTCAGGCAAGAAGGAATGCTTGTTGCCTGGGACAGCAGCTGATGCAAGTGAAGACTGGCTTTGGAAGTCTACTCTTTTGGTTCATTACTGTTTGGAGAAGGAGAATGTGGTCGGGTACTGGAAGAGGTTTTGCTGCCTTCACAGCGATAGCTACGGGTTCAGCTGTGGCTGGGCTGCAGCTGGAGTTCGCTTGATTGCCAGGGAGCACAGGGGAAACAAGCAGTGATGCCAGGAGCTGGCTGTCTCTGTCTGTGATCTCACTCTCTCCATGTCCCTGAAACCCAGTAAGAGTTTCAGATCTGATTTCTTTTTAAACTGCTGATTGCAAGAGTTGGTAGCGCCTTCCTGAGTCATGGACATCCTGTACGTGGTCTGTTTCTTGCCGGCTTTCCTTAAGTACCTATTCGGGGCATGGCGTGAGGGGCCTTTGGTCCAACACAGCCTGGCTGTTTTGCAGTCACGTCCTGGACTGCGGCCTGAAAGCTGAGCATCAGCACATCTGCGTGTAGCCGTGCTCTGTGCTGGAAAACCTCCCAAGGTTAGGAAGAATAGTGATGAAACCTTAGGCGAAGGAAGCATGCGGTCTGTGTATTTCAGCTCTGGTCATCACATATGCTGGAATCTCATTGCTTTAGTAACTGGAAGTGTCAAGTCACACTATTGCTCTGAGCTATTCTTACAGGACTTCTCTATGCAACACGCATCTTGACAATTTTTTTTTTTTTAATATATTAACACCTGTCTGGCCTGCCCTAAGGTTATGTTAGGTGGTTGTAAGACAGGCAAGTAAATCGCAAACGAGCAGGAAAGTTTTAAATGTGCTGAAGTATACTAACACAAACATGTAAAATACTGTTCAGAGTGTAGGACAAATAATACACATGACGTGAAGTAAATATTTGATTGTGTATGAGAATTAACTTCTTCAATACCACTCTTTGTGCTTTTGTAATCACTTCCATAACCATTTCAGCACTAAGGTTTTAGTGATGGATCTATAGGGAAGGTCTCATGGACATATGTCTATAGAGTCAGAATGTTTAAGTTCCAACATGCACACTGGTGTGACAAATATTTGTATCTGTTCACTAGTTCAGCGAAAGGAACCAGGCCGTATTGCTTGTCTGATTGCTTGGGACTAAGCAGTACTGCTCAAGTTTTTAAGACACTTGCAAACTGCTGGAGGAGTTAAACCAAAGAAATCAAATAACTTATTTACTCAAAAAGATTGCTAGAGGCCCTTAAGTATTCTTGGGCCAGGAAAAAGTGCTGAACTCGTAGGTGAAGTTTTGACAATCCATTTGAGCACATTTGCACAATGTAACATTTAACTCTGATTTGTTTCTCACTTTTTTTGCTTTTTTGAAGTTTGCCAACTCGGTTCTGAGTCCTGGGGAGAAAGCAGCTTTTCCATATAAGATCGTTGATTGATCCAATATTTTGCTTTTTTTTTTTCCCCCTCAACTAAAGCTAATTTTTGTCTTTATTTTTTTTTCTTTTTTGTACATCAGCACCCCAGTCTGATGAAGGCTCTGACATTGATTCTGAACCAGACTTACCTTTAAAAAGAAAGCAGCGTCGTAGCAGGACAACCTTCACGGCAGAGCAACTGGAAGAGCTGGAAAGAGCTTTTGAGAGGACACACTACCCTGATATTTATACCCGGGAAGAACTTGCACAAAGAGCCAAACTCACGGAGGCTCGTGTCCAGGTATGTATTTAAAAGCTGCCTAACAAAGGGAATTCCCTCTTCTGCTACTGTGTTGGGTCCTTTTATATTATCACGTGATCCTATCCTGGGGTAGAAGGAAAATGTGAAGCTACATTGTTTAAAGCCTTAGGGGTTTTTGCATCTCTACATGGAGATTGGTTTTCCAACTGTTTAAGGCAACAACTGCTTTGAAAAAAGTTTTCTGTTTTCCCCAGTAATTTTTCCACACCTACCATGAATATAATACTGAGCCTTTGGAGAAGGTGGTCTATTATCCTAGTTAGTTTATTTTATGCATTTGACAGCACTGTGCATATGATCAGGTCAGCAGTTGTGCCAGTTTGTAGTTATTTAACCGATTTCATCTGTTGTTGTTTGGGTCTTTCAGGCATTTACAGAGGAGAGAAAAACACTTTAAAAAGGACAACGTGTCTATAGAGCCATGCAAGTGAGCAGGGTTACTGGTGCAGCATCTACAGTTTACTTTTAGGTTAGCTGTTGAAGTTGTCTTGATTTAAACCTTGTAATATCTCTCTTACCCCGCTGTCAGTTTAATTCAGAAGAAAATAAACCCTCAAATAACTGTTAGGTCTTCACAACTTCATGTAGATCTGGATTGACTAAAACAAGCTAACGTGCTGGAGGAGTAATCTATAGAGCTGATTTAAATTAACAAAAAAAAAAAAAGCATGAAACTGGATTTTCAGATATCCAAAAATGGGCAAATAGCAGTCAAATAATTCTGGAAAAAGCTGCACCCCAGAGTTGAGGTTCAGACTAGGACTTACTCTGTTTCACAGCACAGAAGCACGTCCTGTGTAATACCGCAGGCAGAATCCTCTGTTGCTCTTCCACTACTTGACATCTAAGAGTCATTTGGAAAAGCACGCCCAGTTTAAATCAGTCCGAGTTGCAAGTGTTTGTAAGCAAATGTGCAGTTGGATGACAAGCAAAATGTTGTAGCTTGTGACCTGTCCAAGGAAGAGAAATGAGTAGTAACTTGTGATCTAATCAAGGATACAGGTGAATTTGGTTGCTTTGGTGAAACTGTTTTTGTTTTGACCTTTGAAGCTCAGCCTGAGGCATTCAGAGACTGCAAACTGAAATAAGCAATACATAATATCCCACTGGCTTTTTAAGACAAGCATGCCTATTGCAGCATGGTTGTATTATTGAGTATCTGTCTTGAAAGGTCCAGACTTTTTCAGTTTTACCTGCTAAACATTTTTGCAGAAGACTTCATACCACATTTCTTGTGTTTGTTATGACTGTGAGAGAAAATCAGATGTATGGATGAATTTGTCTGGAAGGCAAACTCAGTGGTGCATGACTCTTTTCTTAACATGTTTACTAAGTGAAATGCTTGCAAAACAGCTTCATATATACACTTGGGCCAGGTAAGACCAAATCAAGCCCTGGGAATCATCCACGCAGAAACATAATAAAGATAACTTCCTGTACAAGTGCTGTTAGCAAGACGAATGGGATCTAGGATATGATGTTTTGGTCTATGTTAGCTTCAGTGGAAAAATACGATAAAATGAAAAAGACCTTGTTCGTGTTTTTCTAAATCAATGACCCACAGCTAGAAGAAAAGCAGAACTCTCATTAACATAACAGCTGTCTTAATGTAGCTTTAACCCCGTGACTTTTTACATTCCTTATGGCTTCCTTGGTTCCCTTGAGACACATCCTGTCTCACACCACTCCTATGATCTACAGCCTCACGAATTCCCCAGTACCTCTGGCATATGGATATTTTGCCTAACCCAGCATGGAAGGAAGCTCCCAGTCAATCAGTGATTAAAATACCAGAACAAAACCTTTCTGGATTAAAGATGAGCTGGGGTTGAAGTAACCAGCCTGTGGGCAGTTTCCTAGTGCTGCACTCCATCTGTCTGGTACCCCTGAAGCCTGGCAGAGTGATTTAGCAGTGGATTAAGGGATACAGGATTTGCCTTATCAGCATTCAGCACCTCTCTGTAGCCCCTTATAATAGCCACCTATGATGGGCACGAAATAAAAGATGACCTGTGAAAAGAAAATAACCCTAAGAGACTTGAGGCTGAGAGGGCTGGATAGCCATACTGATGTAGCATTCAAGCTTTCTTAGTCACACTTCTTTTTAGGTAACAGTATGACAGAGATCAGAGATACCAAATTTTACATGGCTATATACACAAAGATCTCTTTGACTGCTTCCCAATCAACCATCATCTAAAAGAGCTAGCTCTGCAGCCCGAGTCCGGCTGAGCCCAGAAAATTATTTTCTTCTCTGGAGCTGTAAGGACTAATTTTGTAGAGTTGTTTTGCATTGTCTAGGAAGTTATTTAATTGATTACAACTGGACCAAACCTTGCTATTCCCTCAATCCCTCCATGTAGCGCTCGCATCTCATGTTCTGTTTTTTCTACCCTGCCGCCCCCGTGCTTCCCCTCTCCTTCTATTCCCCAAGGCGATCTCTGAGCACCCGTGAAAGGAAGAGTCTTAAACCACCAAATAATCTATTTTCTCACTTTCCCACTGTTGAAGGGTAACCAAATGCATGTTTCTAAGCTGGTTGCTTGGAGAGGGGGGGAAAAGTCGCCTCTGGGCTGAGATCAAACTTAGAACATTTCAGCCCCTAAGGGGAATTTTTTGAAAGCTACAAGCAACTGAAAACAGACTTTAGTCTGTGAATGTTATTTGTGTACTTAATTGCGGGGATAGGAAAGGCTTTTGGGGAAAGAAGTGTTGCAACAAACTCCACATTGCAAGAGTCATGAGATGTGTAACTATAATCATTGCAAATACTTCAGCACTGGTTGTAATAAGGAGTTAAAATGCTGCCTGCAATTCCTCCTGCAGCACCTTCCCACTCAAGGACCATTGAGTCGTTCTCCCCCGTTTGAGCCTAGATGTCACATGGACCCACGACAACCTCTACTGCTGCCTCTTCCAAAGGCACCTGGCTCTTCTTGCGTGTTAGATGCAGCAGGAAGGGGAAAGTGCTTCTGTCTTGTGCATTCATCAGATACAATTCAGAAATACAAGCAGAGTCCCAAAGGATGACCCTTTATTAAAAAAAAAAAAAAAAAGTAGTAATACCCTGGGAATGTGAAGTTACTCACATATTGCGAGTAAAAAATCACAACCATGCAGTGCTTTACTGGTCCAGTTTAAAACCTCATTAAAACCATCATTAAGTTTCAGTGCAGGCCCTTAAGCTCTGTGGCCTATTTTTACTGACTCGGTCTGAAGGCAAATTCTAAAAGTGAAATTTTCCCCAGTGTAGATAAAGATCAAAGGCTCTTTCTGAGTTTCAGAGCAGTGCAGTTATGGTTTCTGTAACAAATAGCGCATAAGGAATGAAGTGGATAGTATCTTTTCTGGCCACCTTTTGATTCCCACATCAGGCTTATTTTTAGACCTGGGTGAACTGGGCAAACTTTGGCAGCAGCTTGGAGCCTGTTTCAGATTGACAGTGGGAGGTGTTTAATTCAATCTTTTGGTAAAGAATTTTTAGAATCATAGAATAGTTTAGGTTGGAAAAGACCTTTAAGATCATCAAGTCCAACCGTTAACCTAGCACTGCCAAGTTCAGCACTAAACCATGTCCCTAAGCACCACATCTACCCGTCTTTTAAATACCTCCAGGGATGGAGACTCAACCACTTCCCTGGGCAGCCTGTTCCAGTGCCTGACTACCCTTTCGGTGAAGAAGTTTTTCCTAATATCCAACCTAAACTTCCCCGGGCGCAGCTTGAGGCCATTTCCTCTTGTCTTATCAGTCGTTACTAGGGAGAAGAGGCTGACCCCCACCTTGCTACAGCCTCCTTTCAGGTAGTTGTAGAGAGCAATAAGGTCTCCCCTCAGCCTCCTCTTCTCCAAACTAAACAACCCCAGTTCCCTCAGCTGCTCCTCATAAGACTTGTTCTCTAGACCCTTCACCAGCTTTGTTGCCCTTCTCTGGACATGCTCCACCTTTTAAATAAGGTTCAGATTTGTCCTGTGGCAGGTGAAGGACCAGGAGCCTGCCTTGGCTGATGGGGACTGGCCAGTCAGACAAATCCTTTTGGGCTGTGTGTTGAAGGCAGGCCTCCCAAATTACCAGAAATGTGATGTGTGAGACTTGCATGTTGGACCACATTGAGGATGTGTCCCCAGCTGTATGGGATTGTGTGGGGCAGGAGGTCCTGCTGTGAGAAGCGGCTGGCACATGGCCTTCTTGCTTAACCCCAAAAGGCACTGGGAGAAATTTTGTTTGGACTCTTTTAGTCTATGAATAATGGTGAAAAAGCAGGGGTAGTTAGGAAGAATTCTGAAACGGGAGTATGTCCTGTCCTGAAAATACTCTTCTCAGCCAAATCCGAGGTTTAAATTGGTTTGTTTGAAAACTTCCAAAAAGAAAAATATTGTTTAACAAAAGCGCATGTCTGAAAATTCAGGCAGATCTCTTCAGGCTATTAGGATGGGGTTGAATGTTCCCATGTCAAACTTGTAATCAGCTTGTAAGCTTTTGTAAAAAGCTTATTATAGCCTCAGCAAATAAAAGAAGTCCCAAGAGCTCAGAAATCTTGAGCAGCTGGAAGAAAAATGATAATTTCTTTTTTTAAGTGCTGTGCTTGCGTATTGTTTTCTTTGTTTCACTGTGGTACAAGGAGGGGAAGAGATGGTTTGGAGAAGATAGTGGGGGGAAAAGGTGAGAGAAGAAATGATGACTCTTAAGCTAGTAGTAAGGTTTGAAAGCTCTGAAGTCCAGTCTCTCAGCTTTAATAGTCTCTTCTCAGTAGCAAACAGTGAGAAGCATTCACCTGGAAATCATACGGGAGGGAGGACCTGTGCCAAAAAGTCTTTATTTGCCCTCAGCTCTTCTGAAATAGTTTGAGCTTGTATGCTGAACTGCACAGTCCTATGGGGAGAGTGGGTAAAGGAATGTGGGACAGATTCAGGACTACTTAAGACCTTTCAGCGCATCTTTACAGTTATTCCTGATGTGGTTTATGGAGAATTCATAGTGC